AAAGAGAAGCTACATACTGCCAAGAAGCCTTGAACATCATTCCTGCAATAAGGATCCCAGCGTTTTGGAATCCTTTCTTGGCTTTAAGAATAACGAATGTTAGCAATAAAAGTCTTTTCTGAAACATTTCCAAACCCATGTGGTTCCCGCAATAGGTGAAGGTTCAAGTTTCACCTTACGGAGCTCAAACTAATTCTTCTGTTCTTAAAATAAACTCAGATGAAACGTGAAAAAAAGTAATGACTTCTGCTCATTTGGGCTTTCTTGGGCTGGAGGCGAAATAGATTCGTGTGGGGACTGGAAGTCCAAATGCCCATTCATAGAGCAACTTGTTATCGTGCTTCCTTCTGGTGACTGGAGAAATTGCCTAAAAGCCTGGGTTTATCCAATTTAAAGGCACTACAGCGACCGTGGGACTCAGCTCCAGCCCTCGGACCAGCCAGGCACACTGCACTGGGCGCTTTGGGCAGACGGAGACCCGCTCTGCAGTTCCCAGCCCCGGAGCACCAGGGCGAGTCGGGCGGCAGCAGCCCAGGGCTCCCACCTGCCTCCTGCCACAGCAACAACCTCAGGCCGTGGAAAGCGAGGAATTCCGTGCAGCTTGCCTCTCTCTCTTCTGCCTAGATTTTGCCTGGGATGACGGAAGGCTGATCTCTGCTGGTGTGCGGTCCCAGACGATGAAGAGACCCAGCGCTGAGGTCAGGATGTAACCGCAACCAGCACAGGTCGCCTGAAAACTAGCGCCTTTTTTGTTATTCAGGGTTTGGGCGGGTTTTTGTCATGCCGAATATATTGCTAGTTTATTTGAAATCGTGGATAATAAATAACATTCCCTTCCAGAATCTAGTTTTGTTCACTTCTAATGCATGGCACAAAACTTCTAGTTTCTTTCCAGGTGCTGGAACATGGGAAGGTTGAAGAGTAAAGTGCGGTTAAAGGCTGCTTGATTGCTGCCTGCTGCGGTTTCAAAGATTATTTTCTCAAAGTGTTGCTTTAGCAGGAATAGATCAGCGAAGGAAATTCGTGAAGGAAATAAATGCAGTTATGAATATGTGTTACATGTATCAATTTATGTTTAACACTGTATACAGAGATCCCGTACAAGATACCGTTTGTGTTACACGAAGGCCTAAATTTCAGGATAATTTTTCTTCTCATGCATAACCTCCCCCCCAGCGAGAGTTTAGCAGATCAGACGACTGGTTGGTGGGGTGGGGGACACACTGCATATCACCTTTTTGCAATATACTTCACAAATCCCACCGCAAAAACCTTTTCACAGTTCTTATCCTTAAAAAAATAAAAGGGGGGAACTCTTTGTAACACAGCATTACTGACATGAATTTTCAAGCCTTTCCTTAAGGTACAGATGGGCTGAAATGAGAGAAGCTCCGGCTCCTTCCAGAGAACGACTTCCTCCGCAGGAATGGAGGTTACACGGAATCACTTCATTCCCAACCTTGAAAATGTTACCGGATCTAGATACAGGCAACCCCGGCTCTGCGCTCCTCTTCCTCTGGACTACAGATCTCACAGCAAAGTTCCAATGAAGGAGCGAGTCGTGGTGACCTCCCTGATCTTGGAAACTTCATGCTTTAAGAAAATCCCTCAAAGTTTAATTATATAAATATTTTTTTAGAGCTGAGCACTGAATGGAGCTGGATAACAGTGCTATTTTTTTTTTTAGCTTCTCAGTTTTGTTTTAGGTTCACTCTGGAAAGAAACTTGAAATACTTCACTCCCAGACAAGTCGAAACAGCATTTTTTGAACTGTGAAATGAATATGTCATCGATTGGTACCAAGGAGACAAAGGGTCAGGCAAAACCTCACCCGCTTGCATATTTTTACAGACATCACCCATCACGGTGATGTCAGTGTGGTTTCTGCTATAGAAAAGGGCAGCTTATACCAGAAAATCTGCGGAATCAGGCGCAAAGGGAGTGTCTGACTTTCTTAGCAGGATCAGCCTTCGCCGACAACTTGCCAGTTAAAACACGAGACAGACGTAATTCTGATTTTCCTCCCCACCTTGACTTGCCTTCACCAACCGTCCGGTTTCGCTGTTGCCTTCTCGGACTCTTCTGGACCCGCAGAAGCAGCGGCAGAAACGGATCAGGCCAGCCCCGGCCCCTGAGCGAGCCCCGTCTCCGTGCGGAGCGACGCGGCAGCAGGCGTGAGACACCTCACCGTGCCCCTGTCCGAGAAGCGGTGTGAGCTGCTGACGTGTTAAATCACCCACTCCTGTCACCAGGGCAGCGAGTCGGCCTTGCTTTTCAATACTACAGTCTCCGTTTTGCGTTTGAAGTCTGTTTTCACAGTAAAATTATACGACAAGCGGTGTAACGCGTGGAAGAACCAATAGGGATCATACAATTAATGAGAAAACAGTGAAACTTGTCAGATAAACAAGACAAAATTAACTGAAAATAGAGGGCAAGTCATACAAATGGGAATAGGACAGGGGATTTTGTGTAATCATGGACATAATCGTTTTCATACAGATGCTTGTACAATATCTTCCCATTCCAGACCCACGGATGTTGCCTCTTATTGCAACAAAATGGAAAGTAAAGAAGCTTAAACCATCTTTCCTTGCAAAACTATCTTATCTAATAAAAACTCTGGAAACATGTACTGGGATCTCACCTCTAAAAAGCCATAGAAAAGGATTACTCTGTAACAAAAGCTGATTTTTCAAACCGTGAGCATTAAGCACCGCAGAAAAAAACGTAGAGAGAAGTAAGAGAAGTATGGGCTTCAGCCGGGGTTTTCCTGCGCCGACCCCAAGTTAGCGTCGGTGTGATTTGCACCAGCTACGGAGCGAGCTGCTGGATTGCTGGAGTGTGAAACGGATCGCTACATCCACTCCAACTTGATAGAGGGGAGGTTATGTGCACATTTTTTTTTTAAAATCCATTTCTTTCCTCTTCCTTTTCACGAACCATCATTTTCATCAGAGGGACTGAAAAGCCAACTAAGCTTCTAAATTCCGTTTAAAAAAAATAAAAATCTGAGTAAAGCTGAATCAGCTCAACATCTTCCAAAACTGCACTTCAGAAACCATTTTTTCCCCCCCGACAGACCCACTGGCCATGGTCCAGGTGGGGTTTTTTTCTCCCCTCGCAATAATGCCGTTCCGGGGATGAAAGCGCTGAATTAATCCGGTTTTTCCGCACTCTTCTCGCAGAGCCCGGGCTGACAGCAGCGGACC